AGTGCATTTTGCTTCAAAGGTACACTAGGATTTTATTTTTATGGCAACAAGACTTGTGAAGGGTTGGACATCTCCCAGACATATACAGGTTCACCAAGCCAAGATCCATAGTCATGTGAAATGCTTCTTCTAAAAGAAGGGGAAACTCCTTTCTCCTAAACTGCGCTAGGATATCTTAATGTTCACAAACAGCTAGAAGTTTTTGATCCCCTCACAGTACAATTAGAGGCCTGTGGACTCTCTTATACATGTCTCTGAGCTGCTGGCAGCATTATTGTACATTGTCTTGAGACAACTGTGTAGAAGCTGATTAATAAATTAATTAATTATGCTAATAGTAAATAACAACCCAAAAGGCAGAAACAGCATCCACTCTACAGTACTGTAGACTGCTTTGCAGATGAAAACTGCTCCTGTCACAACAACAATTTTTACTAAATTATTCACAGTGAACTGAATTCACTGTTTTTATTCTGCCTCAAATAAGTATGGTAAAAAATGAAAAATCTGAAGCTTTGTTATAAGCTATTGCCTGATGTTAGAAGTTCAGCATTTGATCACATTTCTTCTGTATACAGATAATCTTTTGTGGTGGTGTGCTATTTTGCAGTGCTGTAAAATCAAATTGCAAAATCAACAATACATTGATTGGAGTTTTTTAAACTGGATATTACTGACAAAGGGAAAGTAATTAAGAACAATGGAAGCAATAAAAGAATTGACTTATAAATGACTTGAAGGCAATATCAGAGTCTAAACACAAGAGCATTAACAACAAAAAGAAAAACATGTTTGCTGCAATAAAGGAGAAAGCTTCTGAATAATTCTAAGAAAAATATTAGCAGTATTTCCAGAAGTCAAGAGGAGAAAGAGAATAGGTCTGCATCAGCTTTAGAACATTCTAAGAAAATGTTGTCAGCATTCTTGCTTACTGTAAAGCTTTATGTAAATATCAAGACAATGTATTCACAACCTTTGTCTAGGACCCCATTCCCATATATAATCAGTACTGATTATTACTTGGAGCAGCATCGTTAGTAAGGTATAGAAACCAAGATTTCATGTCAAGTCCAAAGGTCTCCTTACACAGCCCAAGACATCCCTGCTGCCTTGGCTACAGTTGAAAACCCTCTCTTGTTTGACCCCCCTTCTCTGTGGTTCTTTTCTTCAGTTGGTTCTCTTCCTAGTTTTCTAAATTTCATTTCAGTATTCCCATTTGGGGAAGTCCTTCCCGTGTTTTCCTTCTCCGGTCTGGGGCTCCTCATGTGTGGATCACCTCATATGGATTTGAGCACCACGTTTATGTGGATGGCAGTTCAACCTTTTTAACCCAAAACATTCTCTCTTTATCCCCATATGGTCAAGTGCCTTTTCTCCTCTTCTCTTCTGCAGATTGACTGTGGTAAAGAGATGCAGCCCTCTTCTCTTTTACGAACAGAAAATGTTCATAAGAGCAACTGCATTGTGGTGGAATATTCCAGGATTCCTTGGAAAGTTATCAGAAATCTTTCAAATATCAGTAATAGAGCTCAAGTGAAAAAGGTCTAAGTTCATACATACTGATGTGGGAGGGGTCAAACTTAGTTGTAAATAACAAAGTTTTTTTTTAATGTTGGTAATGTAAAATTTTGGCAAATAAATGAATAAAGTGGTGTTTTACTTTACAACAATATCAAAACTAAGTACGTAGAGGACACAGGACCTTCAAGCATGAAGCAAGATCAAATTGGCCATTGTAACCAAGGTCCAGACCTGAATTTGCAAGATGCTCTGTACTTTTCAGCTAGCAAAAGGTTAACCAGTACATTTCAAGATGCTCAGTCCTTAAGTCCCACTGAAAGGGGAGGAGAATGACCCATTAAAGTTCAGCTAATGCTCTGGTTAATGTAGGGAACTAGGATACATACTCTGAGCCTGTGCCTTGATACCAAGCAGATACAGAAACAGCTTTCAACAATAAATTTGTACATGTCTCTTAACTTGCCACAAAGTAACACATGACTAGTTCTCACTCTATTGGTAAACCTCTAGGTGGGTTGTACCATTTCAGATATTAGGTGAAGTCTCTCAAGATACAGTAATAAGAAGTTCCTGCATATGAAACACAAAAATATCCACACATACACAATCATATCACATATTTGTTTTCATGTACATTAATATCAGAAGACCCAGCTGGATCAGCGCAAAGGCCCATCTAATTCAGCATGCTATTTTCACAGTGCCCATGGCAATCCCATCTTAATTCTACCATAAGTAGCAAAAGTGACAACATTTTAGCTCTATTTTAACTAATCACCCTGCACTTTTATGGTTTAATCACCTTTTAGGCTAACACCGAAGCCAGTCTGAATATTTTTATTATTCTTAAGGATAGCAACATCTTGATCACCTTTCTGCAGGGATGCTTTTGATTTTCTGGTCCCCAAAGTCTTTAATCTTGTTACTGATCAAGATATAGAGAAAATAGATGGTGGGTTTTAATACTAAGAAGTCATCAGCACTTTCTGCATAGAAGAAAAGAAAACTTTTTTGTTGTTTTTATATCTAAATATGATGCAGCCTTCCTTATTTTAAACCACTATGGCTACAATCTTATACACAATTACATGGGAGTGAGCCCCAAGTAGACCGGCACAGGACTGCACCTTTAAGACATGGAGCATGATCCCTGGGAGTGTTTTCTTCCTTCCCCCACCCTGGGATGACTGAGCAGGGTCACTGCCCTATGACTACATATTTAAGAGCATTACCCAGAGAGAGGATTCGTCCCGCATCGAGAGCCCTTCCCCATCCCAATGCATTTTCTGTAAATAACCCCTAGTACGAGCAGAGCAGTGGCCCAATTAAAAATGGCGAGCATCTCGCGTGGCTGGCTGTGTGCAGGATACAATAGAAGGGGGCTGGAAGCTTTTAGAAAGAAAGAAAAAAAACCAAACGCCGAGCGGCTGCTGGAATCAACAGTCAGGGGGAGGGAGAGATTGGGGAGAAAGCAGCATTCCTGAGCGCAGCGATCTGTCCCAAGAAAGGGATATCATCGAGGCCCCCCATTGCCAGAACCAGTTCGACACCGTTCCTTCTCCACCCCGACCCCCAAAATACACTGCAAAGCACCTCCTGCTCGAGGTCAACCGATCTCGGAACCCTGCAAAGAAGCAATATTGGGGCACCCGAAGTGTCCGCTGCTTTCTCAAGCTTTGCATCTAGAGAAAGATGCTTTGCTCAAAATGTCCACGCCAGAGCTCTCCACAAGAAGTGAACTCCTAACTTCCACGAAAGTCAGGGACAAACTCCCCCCCCCCCCCGTTTTTTCTCTTTATGGGAAACACCTCTTTTCTCTCTCTCCCCACCCCCAATTTACAAGCCTCCGGGACACCGCCCCGCGCCCCGCCCCAAGAGCGCCAAACCAGCTCGCATACACAGAGGCGCGCGCACCCCGTTCCCCAGCCTGGAAAACAAGCAGAGCCGCCACCCCCACTTCTTCGCCGGCTTCCTAAAACTTTTCAACTTCGGCCTCACAGCGCACACGAGAGTCAAAAGAAAGCGGCTCTCCGATCTGGAGAAAGCCAGCCCTTATATTTCCCAAAAGGTCTTTCCCAGTCGGCTGGTGGGATAGGACCTGGAGCAGCAGCCTTATCTGCCCGGTATCTTCAAGGAAAAGCAGGCATGGCTGGTGGGGCAGGAGGCAAAAAGGAGGCTCCAGCCCTAGAGGGGAAGGAAGGCTACAGGGAAAGGATGCCAGCCACCAGGAACTGACCACAGAACTAAGATACGTGTCCCTGTAGCGTATGAGGAATAGAGAGGAATTAAGGGTGTATTTCCAGAAAACCAAGCAGTGACTTGTACAGGGAGATGCTGCAAGCACAGAACCGGGAGACCTGTAAAGGTCAAGGCAATCAATAGGTTGGTGGGTAAAATGGGTGGAGAATTATGGAATACAGAAATGAGACAGAGTGCATTATGTGTCTCTTCCAACATTCAACTGAGTTGGAAGAGAGAGGTATAAGCTTTTTTATATGCCTAAGAGAAATTGGAATGCAAGATCTGAAGGAGTAGTTTAGGCACAGAGTTGAAAGGAATCAAAATCTGACTACACGGATATGGCATGGATAAGAACATGGATATGGCGCTGCATGAGTATCGTGTTAGACTGTGTGGAGGCACATGCAGAGTAAAGTGATGAGATGGCTGCAGGCTTGAAAAATAAAGTGACTGGAGTTCCTACAAAGTTGAGATAATGCCAGGAAGGGGAAAACTGTGGGAGGGGGTACTATAAAGTTAGGAAATCAAAAGCCTACATATTATTAGGGGCCAAGGGAGAAGAAAATAAGGAAGAGAGTCAAGGTATGCAAAGTTAGAGGGGAAAGTGTTTTGGAAAAGTGAATGTATGGGGAAAACACAGAATCTGGGGGCTTTGGAACTGAGGTCATGGATCTAAGTGTATGAGAAGAGGGTGCGTGGGGGGAGATGCTGAAGAAAGCAGAGAAACATAAAATAGAAGATACAAAAGCTGAGAAAAAGTGTGAGGCCCCTAAGGCCAGCAGGAGAAGCAAAAGAAAGCTAGGCACAACAAGCGGGAGGGACTGCAGTAGGGAGTAAATGCCAGGATGGGAACATAGTTGGAGAAGGAGAAATCATAAGGGAAAGAACAGGGGTGTATGCTCATTATTTATTTCAAAGAAGGTTTAAAAAAACAAGAGGAGGGGAGAGGGACTACCACCATCCAGTGCCATCCAGGATGTTGAGGGGGGCGGGTGTATGTGTCTGTGGAGGAACTGCAGAACCAAATCAGAGGAGTCACCGTCCTGGGGGGAGGGAGGAGAGTGGGAATGGATTGCAAAACACTTGAGATGAGGGGGTGGGGGGGAGGATGCTGAAAGGAGGGAGAAATGGGGGCGCAGAAAGGAAGTGTGGGAGGTGGAGTAAATGCAGACTGCAATCTGCGAAGCAGGGGAGGCTGCAGCCTCCACACACAAACCGCGCAAACCCCCTGCCCCTACCTTCCATCTCCATGTCCTCGGGCTCGCTCAGCTGCTGCTCCCCGGGCTTCTGCTGCTGCTGTTGTTGCTGTTGCTGGTGGTGGTTCATGTCGGGCTGCGGGAGCTCAGGCTCGGCGGCCTGGGCCTTGGCTGAGGGAGGAGGGCGAGGAGGCGGCGGCGGCAGGAGCTGCTGCGGAGGCCCCGCGTCGAGCGGCGATGAGCGCTGGAAAGGCAGGAGCTGCTGAGGCAGAGACTGGGGCTGAGTCGGCTGGCGGCGGGGCGGCTCCGCGGCCTGGAGCTGGTGAGGCTGCAATTGCTGCTGCTGCTGCTGTTGGGCTTCGGGCTGCTGCTGCTGCTGCTGGACTCCGGCGGCGGGCAGGGAGCGGGCGGCCGCCGGGGGAGGCAGCGAGACGCGCACGTATTTACTGGCTATTCGCCCAATGGCGGCGGGGGTGGGAGTGGGAGGAGGAGTGAGGAAGGAGGAGGATGGAGGGCCGAGCTCGCCTCAGAGCGGGTGCAGGCGGAGGCAAAGTCCCGGTCCGGCGGTGGCTGCGGAGGAGGAGGGCGACGTCTAGGCCCTGCTGCTGCTGCTGCTGGGTCTCCTCCTCCTCCCCCCGGGCTGGGCCGGCTCCGGTGAGGAGGGAGGCCCGGCGGCGCGGGCAGCGCCAAGGCGGGCGGGCTCCTTCGACGGCGACAGGCGGCGTTGGGAGCGAGTCGGGCCTGCTCCTCCTCCGCCGCCTTCGCTGCCTCTCAAAATGGCGGCCGCGAAATGTCACATCCGCATGGAGGATGGGGGCTCCGCCGGAGTGTCGCGGCGGCGTGAGGAGGGAGAGAGAGAAGGCCGACCGGGTGGCTGGCGAGCTAGCCAGGGAGGGCAAGAGGAGGAGGTGGCCGCCGCGGCGGTAACTGCAGCAGCAGCAGCGGAGGACGAGATGCTCCGCCTCGCCTGCTTCAGCTCGGCCTGCAACGGCCGGGAGGAGGAGGAGAGTGAGCGAGAGAGTGGGAGGGAGCGAGGGACGAGCTCAGGACGACGGAAGGAAGGAAGGAAGGAAAGAAGGAAGCGGGAGGGAGAGAGAGAGAGCAGCGCCGCGGCAGCCCCGGGAACAGCAGCTACCGCCGCCACAGCGAAAGGGAAGAGGAGGAGGAGGAGGAGCCACTGAGGCGAAGGCCGGCCGGGGCGCGGAACGCCACCCCCCAATACACGCACAGACGCACACGCTGTCCCGGGGGGAGGGTCGGAAGGAAAGAGTGAGAGCAGAATATGGGGGAGGGCGGAGAGATTGGGAAGGAAGAAGGGTGTATGGGGGAAGGAGGGGTGCGAGGTTGTGGGTGAGATTGAAAGAGGGGGTGGGAACAAGGGGGATGCGAGGTAAACTAGGGAAGGTGGGAAGGAAGAGAGGTGCACTTAGAGGGTCTGGCGGTGGGTGAGACTGGAAGAGGAGGGAGATGGAGGGAATGCGAAAGTTGGGGGTAGAGGAGAGAGTGAAAGGCAGAGGGTCCTACGGCGGGGGGAGGGGAGTAGGAAGGGTGTAATTCGGAGAGGGAGGGAGGGGATGCGAAAAGTTGGGGAGGTGTAAGATGAAAACAAAGGGGACCCTGGAAACATTACGACGGGGCATTAAGGATGGACTTGCGGGGGTGCTTAGTGGAGGGGTGAGGAGATGGCAATAGGAACAGCAGGGAGGGGAGGGAGGTGTGGGTGTCTTGGAGGAATGAAGGAGAGCAGGAAGGATTGGGGTTTATTTGGAGGGTTGGGGGCAGGGGTGCCTGGCGGTGGGCAAAATTGAAATGGGAGGTAAGGGTGGGGAGAGCAGGGAGGACTGGTGGGGGCGTACCTGAGGGAATGGGAACTTGCTGGGTGGGGGGGATGTGAGAAAAATAGAGTACAGAGAGATGCATATGAGAGACCCTTGAAGAAAGGGGCAACAGTCAGGTGTGAGGAGCTGGAGGGATGTGGAAGATGGCCAGGGCAGAAAGCATGCCAGAGGATAGAGAAGAATGGTAAGGTGGGGGTTCTGTTGAAGCAGCGTAAGACTGATGAAATGTTTGGAATGTGAAAGGAGGGGAAGTCAGTTGTGGGAGAGGTATAAGGGGAAGGTTTGGAGGAGGTAGGTCACATTCACACCATACATTTAAAGCTCGATGATACCACTTTAAACAGTCATGGTTCCCTCTCCCCCCCCCCCCAAGAATTCTAGGAGCTGTAGTTTGTTAAGAGTGCTGAGAGTGGGTATTCCCCAGATGGGGCTACACTTTTCAGAGTGGTTTAACAATCAATCACATGAAACTGTGCCCTTAACAAACCACAGCTCCCAGAATTCTTTGGGGGAAGGCCATGACAGTTTAAAGTGGAATAATAGCACTTTAAATGTATGGTGTGAATGCGGCCTTCGCCCACTTAGGGCAATCTTGATAAGGAGAATCAAGTGGAAGGAGATGTAAAAAAGGAAGCTGGGGGCTGGTAGAGCTACCAGGAAATAGTGGAGTGGTGTGGTTCAAACAGGGACTGGGGAAGTTAATTCGGGAGTTAAGAAGGGGGCTATGAGACTCTAGTGTGGGAAAGAGCATAGAGAGGATAGTGTTGGGGAGGTGGGAAGAGAGCGCCACCATCAGGAGATTTAAGGAGGTTGTAATGAAAGAAACTGAAGATGCGTAGGGATATTATATGAGAGATAAAAATGAAGGAAAACTTTGTGGGATATGTGAAGAGCAGGACAATAGCCCCAAGGTCCTCTTTGAAGAGAAGGGAGTGGGCGGTGGCTTGTGGTGGCAAGGTATGATGCAGAGAAGGAAGAACATAGAAGTCAGAGCATTACTCCAAGACGCTCTCCAGAGTTTCAGATGGATCTTTCCCAGTCACACCAGAGATTTATCTTGGAGTCTCTTTCACAGCAGGGGAGTGCTTTCTCTAAGATGTTGCTCTTAAGTGCTGTTTCCAGAGAGCAAGCCAAGTCCCTCTGCTGCAGCAAAAACATCTCAGAGGCTTCTAGCATCTTAACATTGGGAATCTGCTTCCCTGAGGATCTTGTGGGACTCCCTTCAACTCCAGAGATTATTTGTTTGTTTGGATAATTTATTTATCACCCTTTGAACCCGCCACACGGCAGTTTGCAATAAAACCAGGGAGATAAGAATGCATAACAACAATAAAAACAGCATTAAAAAACACAACAAATCACTGAATCACAAATCACACAATCACAATTACAAAAACAGCAGCCTTTCCTCTTTCTAAGATGCATCATGACTATTTGCCTGAAGCTATAAAGAGATGGGGTTTGTTGCACCTCAATAGGAAGAGAATTCCACATGCAAAGAGCCACCACTGAAAACCTTCCTGGGCCCTCACACTAGGTATGTCATCACATGTAGAGACCTCATCTGATGTCAAAACAAAGTCAGGTTGATATGGAAAAAGATTTGGTTTGGAGGGTCACAGACTCCTATCTGCCTTAAAGCTGAACTCTTAATAATTATTGCAAAAAACACATGGACTAGAGTGGACGGAGTGAATTCTGGATGGGGAAACTGATGTCATTATAAATTTGTTGATCTTTATGGTGCTCAAGACTAAGAAACATATGAAAAAACGGCACATGTGCTGCCCCCTATTTTTTTTTTTTATCAGGTAGAACAGGGAAGAGTAAGGAGAACTGGGGAAGTAAGGAAAAAGAGAGGTTGAAGAAAATGAGATATTATAGATAGGGATTGCAGCAGGCAGAGATGACAGCTCATTTTAACAATTCAATGGTTTGCATTCCAACTCAGAAGAAACCTCCACTGGTTGAATGAGGCTTAACTGTTAGGTAAGCCCCAGCTTCCTTCTGAGTAGATATGCGCTATAAAAGTGCCACAGATAATTTATAATCTTCAGCTTCATAATTCTGTGGAACAGGTCTCAGAAATCTCACAACAGAATTTAACATCTAATGCAGTTCCAGAGAGCTCATGGGAAGAAATAGCCCTAATCCTTTAGCAAGGATTCACAAATACACTTGCCACGTCACTGCTGGTGAGGACACCTTTTGCACAAATAGAAAAAAAGCTGCTTTATAGAGAGTCAGACCATTTGTCCATCTATTGTCTATACTAGCTGGCAACAGCTTGTCAGGATTTCAGACAGGAGTCTTTTCCAGCCTTCTGTGGAGACACCGGGGATTGAACCTGGGACTTTAATGAGTGTAGAGCATGTTTTCTACCACTGACATCATCCATATGCAGTCAGAATGATGAGCTTAAATCCAGTGCCTTAGACCACAGGCCAACCCTACCACATCCCACTTCAAGGAGAGCCCCAATTGCCTCTTAGGCCTGGAAGAACGTGAGAACTTTGGGATACCAGGCTGGCTTCAGAAGCATAAGAGAAATGCAAGGACCTTTCCCCTGATGCCGCACTGAATCTGAGTTACTTTGAGAGCTGTCGGAAGACTTCATGCCTCACTTTGAATATCGGAGCTTTGGCCCTATGGGGATTCCCCTCCTCCTCTTTTTTTGCGAAAGAAGGGAAGGAGTTTGCTATTGACAGTTGTGCTGGGTCTTGAGCTCAGGGGAATGCCAGAAGACCCCCGTTCTCTCCTTCTTGAAAGGGAGAGTAGGATCATGGCACAAACAAATTTGGCTGGTTACCAAGTTAAGCTAAGATTTGTAGACCCCTAGCATTCATGCATACGTTTTACTATAGATTTGATGGAGATACAGCCACAGACTTCTGTGTCATGAAAAGTTGTGCAACCCCTCACACACAAAACCCCCCAAAGTGATAGCTTTGCTAAAATCTGAAAGAACCCTGTGGCAAACAGCCAGTGCTTGTGAGAAGGTGATGTTGATGATCTTGGGCAAAGGAACAGCTGCAGAGAGTTGCAGTTTCTACCCCATAGCTTCCAGCATACTCTCCTCCCCTTTTTCATATTTTTTTAATTTACAGCACATTTACAGCTGCTCCTGTAAACCTGGCTTATTGCCAGCACGTAACACTAATTCTGAAAGAGTTGCACTGCTGCCAATACGCTTCCAAGACCGTCTCAAGGTACTTGGTGGTGGCGCTCCAGCTTTGATGCTTCTCTTATTTGCAAGCTTTATTTGTCAAGCTTTTTGAAAAGTACCCCCAATACAATTTACATAGCAAAAGCAGAATAAAAACTAGACTTAAAAACTACAAAAGGCAAAACAAGCAACAGCAAGCTTAAAGCAACACCTAGAACCGATAATTATTTTTTAAAAATGCACTCTGGGCTTTACATGAGGTTGTCTCCAGCTAAGTTATACAGGAGCTAAGTTCTACTCAAAGAAGACCCATTTAAATGCATGGACATGACTAATTTAAGTCAAGTAGTTTCTATTGGCTCTGAGTAGAAATTCGTTGGGGACAATTCCTGGTGCCTAAAGGATAGCAATGTAAGAGTCAGCAAATATTCCCAAGAAAAG